ACACTACCTCTATTGTAAATGTGGAAAATTTTCTGTGTGATTAATTTTTATTTATAATTTGAGGAAATTAGATGCAATATTGTGATTAATGCTGAAAATTCCATTCTGTATCACAAGTACTGTTTTTGGAATAAAGTAAATCATTATTATTCAAGTGTTGGTTTGTGGGGATTTGATTGGTTTCAGGATTTCATCATGAGCTGACATTAGTTAGAGAACCAGTGGGAAGTTGTGACCTGTAGGGTGCAGCTGGTCGGGTGTGAGGACAAATACTCGCCGAAGACATTGGCTAGCGGTCGCGCTATGTCGTGAATTGGTAGAAGTTAGAATTCAAGGACCATTGGATCGGGTCCCAGTGGCTTAATGGTATTAGAGCTCGCCTTGTAACCGGAAGGTCCTGGGTTCGAATCCCGGTGGGTGCGTACTGATGAAGAGTCCCAAAATAGGCTGACGAAACAGCTATCCAGTACTCCTAGTTGGTTTTCCAATGGTTCTCTAACTAATGTCAGCTCATGATGAAATCCTGAAATAAATCATTATTATTATTATTAAGAAAATGGAGATGAATAGGATGCACACTGAGTAAACCGTTGAGTGACTCAGAACCCAAGGCCACCCCCAGTCGAGTGGAACCTGGATACAAGACACTGAAATAGGCGTCGCAGAGTGACATGAAGATCATGTGAGGAGATGATAGGATATGGGCAATTGTGGGGGGGTCAGTTAAAGATGACTGCAGTAGAAAAGGACAAAACAGAGATGTGCTGTAGAAACTTTATTTTCCAATCGAACTCATAAACCAACTTTGATATACGCAAGAATCCTGTCAATGGAATATGAATGACACTTCTTCAAACATTGGAAGCTACGCCAATCTACATGTTAAATTTTTAACTCTACATGCAGCATAAGTTTGTTCAGTCACTGAACTTATAATGAGCCTGACTTGTCTAAACATGTGATACATGACGTTTTCAAAAATGTCGCTTCTCACTATTACACTTCTACAGCTAATGACATTGATTTTGACAAGACCTTGAACCCTACTCAATTCTGAAAAGTGTGTTAAATCACTCAGTTTACTTAAATTAATTTTGATTAAGTCTCTACCAAGTTCTTCATATTATTTAATAACAATAATTTGCTTCATTCCAATGCTCCTGTGTTTATATCATATTTGTGATTCCCTTGGGTTCCGAGTGGAACATAGGGCTTCAACAACACATCTCCACTTTCTCCTATTTTCTGCTATCCTCTTAATTTGGGTACATGATTGTCCAAACTCTCTCATCCCTTCCCCACGCGCGATCACCTCCATGTCACCCTCGCACCGACGACCCACTCATCGCTTCCCATTGGGATTCCACTTGATCTATGGCCCGCATTGCGCGCGATGTCATTCGACGGTTTCCTTAATATATATGCCCAATCCATCTCCATTTTCTCCTACAAATTTATTCAGCGATCGGCTTTTAGTTGTTTTGTTCCCCCAGCCAGAGTTTCTTATTACTCATTCTTTCTGACCAGTCAATCGATCTTCAGTATGCAGCCAGCGATGGTGGCAGCTGTTGACTAAAGTCTCCAACCTGCTGTAAATCCTTTTCATGACACACTGGCCAAGTTCCGGACCTATATAGAAAGACTGAATTGATAATGGTGTTGAAAATCCGAATTCTGTTCCTTATGCTGAGTGTAGAAGATTTCCAAAGTGATTTCGGGTTGATGAAGGCGTTGCTTGCCTTGCCTTTCCGATTCTGTCCGAGTTTGACATCTTCATCCTCTCCGTGTGTCTGTAGCTGAAACGATGCTTCCTAGCCAGATAAGTGAAGGAAGTAACCTCTGTCAAATCTTTTGCGTTGATGAGGATTGGTGCTGGTTGTTGTTGTTGTTGGTGGTGGTGCTTGGTTATCTTCATCACCTCTGTATCCACCTTCTCTATGTTCACCTGCAGTCCAGTATTCTGTGTTTGCCTACCTCTTCTGCCAAGTTGTGGGTTTTCGCCTGCGAGTCTTCGAATTTGTGTCACGTTAAATATAAATCATCCACGCGAGAAATCCAAATCTTCTAGAATTTTCTTATTGGTCCAGTGTACTCCTGTCTCCTCGCTCCCACGCACAGACTGACGACGCATAACCTAGTTCCCCACAATTAAGAATAACATCGGTGATAAAAGGCAGCCAGCTTGTCTTACTCCTGTATGCACTTCGAACACCTCGCCGAGTTTTTCGTTGTAGGTCACTTGACATGTGGCATTGTCATATAGCCAGCTGTTGATAGAGGTTGATAAAGACTTGAGCACTGCACGCCGTAGTGTTGAAGTAGTTTCCAAATTACTTCTTGGTCGATGCTGTTCGGTGAAGGCATTTTCGACGTCGATGAAGTTGATGTAGAGAGAGGTCTGACTGCCACTCTATGCTTTGTTCTGTGATGACGATGCATAGAGTAGCAATTTGATCAGTACATGACTTGCCTTTCCTGAATCCAGCTTGTTCAGGTGGATGGTGCGCGAAGTTCTGTATCCAGTGCATCCTTTATTCTGTCCAGGATGATACGACTTAATAATTTACTTGCCGTGGACAAAAGCATTATCCGATGCAAGCTCTTGCATAGTGAAGCCGAAATCGCCCTTCTTTCGCAGGTTGACAAGGTAGCTAGCCTTTCTTCCAACCGGTAGGTGCCTTTCCTTCTTTCCAAACCTTTTGCAATAATGGCGTGAGTACATCGTGTACTGGGCAATTCAAAATCTCTTCACTGTTATTGAAATCTCATCAAATATCAAATCGAGCGAGAATCGGGAAGGCGAGAACACACACATTCATCAACCTGGAACCAATCTGGAAATCTTCGTCACTCAGCCACCATCAACAACAAAATTCAGTCGGTTGGATTTTCAATACAAACGTCAAGTCAGTCAGTTCTTCTATACGGATCAGATCAGAAACTTGGCAGGCGGGCGGGTCACAAAGAATATTTCCAACACGCCGGCTATTGCAGACCTTTATCAACAACTAATTGTCTTCGCTCTATACTGAAGAAAGTCTAGATGGCCGGGCCGGAAAGAATCATCAACAAGAAACTATCAGCACAAACAAACAAAACAAGAAGCAATCGCCAACCCAGCAAATATGCAGGAGAAAGTGGAGATGGATTGGACACTCGCTCGCTGAGGAGGCCACTGGGTGACATCGCGCGTCAAGCCCTCGAGTGGAACCAGGCCGAAAGGGAAGCGGCGTGTGGGACGTCAGTGCAAGAGTGACATGGAGGAGATGGTGTGAAGAGAAGTTGAAAAAGAATGGACTAACATGAATGCAGGTGGAAAGTACAGCAAAAGACAGAAGGAAGTGGAGACGTGCAGTTGAAGCGCTATGTTCCACTAGGAACCCAAGGGAACAATAATAATAACAGCCTGAGAATAATATTTCTGAGTGATATTGAGGTTGGACATCGAGTGTTAGGTAATGAGGCAAAATCTATATATATATATATATATATATATATATATATATATATATATATATATATATATATAACGTTGTAAATGAGATGACTAGGACATTTGTTAGGCATGCCTAGCCATTGCTTTCTTCGATGAACATTGTTAGCTGAAACAATAATCAGTTTACAAATAAGTCAGTGATAGTCAAAAGAAAACATAGCTTCATCAGTCAATGAAATTCATAACAATTAGTTTGAGCTAGCCACGTAGGGAGTTGTCGACTTCCTGAATGGTTGGGATTCTCGAGATGGTAAGAACCAATGGCTGGAGAAAACTGGTGCATCAGTGCTTCAAAATCATTCTCAATGGAGCAGATGAATTCACTCACTATGATTCTTCATATATCGACTAAACTGCAATGGTTTTCCATGTTACTATTCCCTCTTTCTCTCATAAAGCATTTCTGCATCTCTTATTGTTATTTCGAATCTCTTTTTTTTTGACTCTTTTGTCTCCTTATGTATAGGACATGGAATGTGGTAAGATGAAACTAGTGCACTGTCTGTCTGTCTGTTTTCGAACATAGAACTACTTTGCACCGATGTGCACCAGTTCAAGTCATCACGCTCCCTCCTTGTAGCACACAAACCAAGAGAAGAAAGTAGAAGAAGAAATGAATAATAGAGACAGTGAACAGAGGTGTGAGACAAAAGGAATAGTAATAGTAACGAAGAACAATATGGTTTCATTGGAAATCATAAGTCACAAGGAGTGGATGTATCTGAGCCAGCCATTGAGAAAGGTTTTGAGCTACATCACCAATTGTTTCCAACCATTGGATTCTACCGTCCCGAGGACCCTAACCAGGTAGGCAGTCTATACCTTCCTACGTGGCTGGCTTAAACTAACTGTTGTGGATTTCATTGACCGACGAAGCTATGTTTTGGTTTGACCGCCGCTAGCTGGCTCGTTTCCAGCCTGACCCTATATCAGCTAACACTGCTCGTCGAGGAAGGCGATGACTAGGGATGCATAACACATGTCCTAGCCATTTCAATCGGTGTAACTTCACAGCCTTGTCGATTGATTTCCTTGCACTCGACCGAAGCCTAACCTCAATATTGCTCACCTTATTATACCACTTCACACGGGAGACAGAGCGTAGGCACCTATAATGAAAGACAACTAGCCAGCCTTTTCATGTCTTCCACTCTTAATAGCCAGGTCTCACAGCCATATTAAAGGAGGACGGAGCGGACTGCTGAGCAGTACACACGCCCTTTGGTCTACAGCCAGCTGGATATCACGTCTACTTTAGAGACGGCGTAAACTGGTATATGCGAAACTAGCCTTCTGTATCTGTGCTGAGATTTCGTCAGAGATCAAGCCGTGCACTTCTGCACACCAGACAGTCAGATACCTCTGAGAAGAGTAACACTTCGATGGACATTTCTTTTTTATATAACTTGATGGGAGATTGTCAAGCTATTTTATTACAGAAAAGACGAATTTCAGGAAAAGTATTTGACTAATGTAGAAAACATTTATATATAATACAAATTATTCATTCACATTGATTTAATTGGCTTTCTAATTGTACACGTAGAGCTGGATCTACATGACATTTGATCAAAACATCAGCTAATACAGGATTGCCTAATTGATTTTGCCATAATGTTAATTCATTACGAATTCTGTGTTTCAGACTATTCTTTGTAGCAATGTCGATTGGATAGACATAATAAAATTGAATATTTTCATCTTGTATTGTCAATTCATCTTCATCATATAGAACCTGTTGAGAAGAGGAGAAAAATAAGTACTCCCAATAATAATAATAATAATAATAATAATAATAATAATAAAAGAATACAGAAATATTTTGCAATTATTTGTATGTACGGTGGCCAAGAAGAGATCAGCAACAGGGATCTCTCTTGGAGTGAATCAACCTAGCAGGAACCAATTGTGCAACAAATAAGCAGGAAGAAATGGAGGTGGATTGGATGGCCATACTCTGAGAAAACAAACCATCAAGTGATATCACAAGACAGGCCATTCATTGCTCGAGTGGAATCCGAACGGAAGGCGGCGAGTTGGTCAAACAAGGAAGACTTGGACGAGGTCATGTGAGGAGGAGATGAAAGCATGTGGGCAGACGTGGAGCCAGGTGAAAACTCTAGCAGAGAACCGAACGCAATGGAGATGCGCTTTTGAAGCCTCTAGGAACTAAAGGACACAATAATAAAAATACTGTATGTAGGGATTTGATGAGTTCCAGGTTTGATCACAGATTGATATCAGTTAGGGGACCATTGAAAACTAACAAGCATTGAACAGACGTTTCGTCCTAGTTTAGGACTCTTCATCAGCACATACCCACGTCTCTACCCAGGGATGGAACCCACGACCTTCAGGTCACAAGACGAACTCGTTGACCATTCAGGCAATCTGTTGAATTCCACTCTAATGATTGGGTAGTTACAAGTTTATCACAGCAAGCTGTAGTTTTAAGCTTCAATTGTAGAAACACAGAAAGGTGTGTGTGTGTGAAAAATGACAGGCTAAAACAATAATAGTGAGTGTTCGCCAGTACCTCCCATTATTTCAATTCGTAGTTTTATTAGTAATACGTGACTCGGTGGATCCCTCTGGTTGTTTTGAAATATGGAATTTGAAATTGAAGCACCTTTATGATGCACAGTCTTATATTAAAGTATCTATTTTGAAACTTTTAAGTCTTCATAACAATAATTCATTTAGGCGTTACTATTATTAATTTAACTCGATTGCTCCGAAGAGATTTTCAATGAACCAGGCTATAAGCCAAATCCATTTGTGTGAGAGCTGATGATGCCACTCTAATTTGCCAAGGCTTATCACCATCATTTGTTGTATAATTCCAATGCAGGTGAAAGGATAAGGCTACGAAGTTTGGCCACTTCAGTTTCCATTTATAAATTAAATTGTTCTTGTGGAGACTGTTACATAGGTAGAACGACCCGGAAAGCCCACCGTCGCCTTCTTGAGCGTTGTCCAAAGCGGTTGGGTGAAGGTATCGTAAAGTCAATCTATACTAGTACACCCTGTAGATACAAAGCACAAGATTGATAAGAGAATTTGATTTCAGGATTTCATCACGAACTGACATTGGTTAGAGGACCGTTCGAAAACCAGCTGGGAGCATTGGACAGCTGGTTCGTCGGCCTATTACGGGACTCTTCATCAGTACGCCAAGATTAAAATACAAGACCTTTCGACTACAAGGCTAGCAAGCTCGTAGACCATCAAGCTAGTGGCACCTGTGCTTCGGTGGCACAGTGGTTATGACTCTCACCGATCATATACACGGTCCAGGGTTCGACCCCCTGCCGACGCACACCTGATATCTATGGTCGGCCTGCAAAATTTGGACTACGGAGGCTGAAAATTCCATACCTGTATCATAAATACTGTGTGGAATCAAGCTGTATTCCAAAATATAAAAAAAAATAATAGCCAACCCATAAATGCCAAGTTCTGTTAATTCACGATATGGCATGACTACCAGCGAATGTCACTGGCGAATATTTGTCCTCACACCAGACCTGCTGTACAACATTTGTCACAACTTTCCACCAGAACTGAAGTAACTACATACCTGAATAGGACCAGTCACTAGTGAGCCCTAAATTGATATTCAAGGGTTGGTTTGCAGGGATTTGATTGGTTTTAGGATTTCATCATGAACCATTGGATCGATTCTCAGTGGTCTGTGAGCTCGTTAGCCATGTAGTCGGAAAGTCTTGAGTTCAAACCTTGGTGGTAGATGCATGCTGTTGACGAGTCTCAAACTAGGATGAAACAGCTGTCCAGTACTCCCAGGTTTTCCAATCGTCCTCTAACCAATGTCAGTTCAAGATGATGAAATCTTGAAACCAATGACATCCCTGGAAACCAAAATTCGAAATGAAATTGAGCCTTTACAGTTCTATATAAGGTACCACTTAAATTCCCTGAGTTTGGCAAGCCATGTTATGCTGAGCATATTCACGGCAGTTACTTTAAAAAAGTTTTCAACCCAATCTCTGTGTTCAGAAAAGGTTTGCTCAATCCGTCTCCTTCCTATGGCCTTCAAACTCAACCCAAAATAGTTATCTATTTCGGTGACACTGGATAACTGTAAATATTGTCTTATATTTGTACTACCTGACTGAATTTATGCTTGTCATTATTATTACTATTATGGTCACCTCGATTGTGATCCACTAAAGCACATCCCTGAACTTTGATTAGGATCCCATTGATCCACACGAAGTCAATCAACAGCCCGAATAGCTCAGTGTTAATCTCTCTGACTGCCCCACACTGGCTGAAACAGCTTCGAATCTCATAGTGGAAATGAGTTCCTTCAAGACTAAACGATACACTTTTCTGACGAGTGTCAACAAGCATAAAACCCAAGGTCAAGCAAGCCTTCCTACCAATTACTTCCAATCATTTAATGATCCATATTGTTTTAAATGTCTATGACAAGTGATTTTATTATGTAACTGTAAAGCCTGATGAGAATTTAGCAGAAATACGTGTTCTACAAATTATATGCGGCAAGATTCGAACTCACGCCACTCTGACTGAAAGTTGATTGTTGAAGCCAATGGAGACATTATTATTATTATGTCCTTTAATTCCTAGAGGAACATAGGGCTTCAGCCAAATATCTCCATTTCCTTCTGTTTTCTGCCAACGTTTTCACCCCGCTCCAAGTCTGCCCACATGCTTTCATCTCCTCTTCACATGACCTCCTCCAAGTCACCCCACCCTCGCACTGACCACCACCTCGCCGCTTCCCTTTCGGGTTCCACTCGAGCAATGGCCTGGCATGTGATGTCACTTGATGGCGTGTTTTCTCAGAGTATGGCTAATCCACCTCCATTTCTTCCTGCCTTTTTGTTTCAAAATCGGTTCCTGGTTGGTTTGCTCCCAGAGATCCGTGTTGCTGATCTTTTCTGGCCAGCCATCTGATCTTGAGTGGTATTGAGCGAAGACAACTGTTAATGAAGGTCTGAAGTTTGTTTGAGATGCTCTTTATGACGCGCCAAGTCTCTCATCCGTATAGTAGCACTGAATTCACATTGGCACAGAAAATCCGGATCTTATTTTTGATGGTGAGTGCTGCACATCTCCACACAGGCTGGACAGTAGTGAAAGCTTACCTTGCTTTCCCGATGATCCTCGCTTTAACATCTTCATCGCTTTCGCCTGTAGTTGAAATGATGCTTCCCAGATAGGTAAGTAGGTAGGTGAAGGAGGTTGTTTCTTTCAGATTCCTCCCATTTATGCTTGCTGATTGTTGTCTGTTGTTGTTGTTGCTGTTGGTGTTGGCCAGGAATCTTCATCACCTCTATTTTATCTATGTTCACCTGAAGTCCTATCTTTGATGCTTCTTCTGCCAGCTTGTTGCTTTTAACTTGCATATCTTCCAGTTTGTGGGTCAACTTGAACATATAGATCCAACAATATATACAATTACAGATATGAGTTAGTGTTTAAAGGTCACAAAATGTCAAACAGTTTGTTATAGGTATTAGTAGTCAACAAGATTATATCCACAGGTTTAGTGTTCGAAAGTATGAACGGATTGCAATAATTTCCAGAACTTTGTGATGAGAAACAACAGAGAAATGAGAGTTTTATGTATCTAAGGAAAATGTAGCGCACTAATCGAAAAGTGCGCACCCCTGAATCCAATGGAGACATAAGAAATATAAATTCACATTTTTGTTAGAATAGCTTCTAGAGTTTATTGCCTCAAAAGAAAGAAAAAAACAATCACTTTCAAACAAAGTCCGTCGTCCAGCTAGTCTGTGTAAACTAGAAAGTGTGATATATATAAATCATAAAGTCTATAAAAGAGTTTTAAGCTGGTTATATAAAGGCTATCAAATAAAAAACCAACACAACGTAAATCATCATTCTGTTATTTGTTGTAATAAAAGATGCTTTCATTACACTTATCAACACATTTGCTCAAATTATGCCTCACATATAGTTAAAAATAAACACACACACAAAAAAAAGGAATGTAACAAACAAATATTCTCAAAGATTTCATCTGTTCCAAGTTTTATCACGGATTGATTTCAGTTAGAGAACCGTTGAAAAAACAGCAGGGAGTACTAAACAGCTGTTTCGTCCTAGTTTCCGACTCATCGGCGGTACACACTCTCCCCACAGGGGGGTTCGAACACAGGACCTTCTGGTTACAAGGCAAGCTAGCAGACCCTTTAGCCCACTGGCACCCGATTCAGTGGTCAACCCGTGAATTCTAACTTCTATTAATTCGTGATTTTAGCGTTACCACCAACCAATGTCACCCGCGAGTATCTGTCCTCACTACCGACTGGGTGCCCCCGGTCCAGGTGGTTGAATGGTCTAGGCAATTGTCATGTGGTCAGAAAGTCTTGGGTTCTATACTCAATGGGTGAGCATTGTCGATGAGTCCCATGCTGGGATGAAACACTTGTCCAGTACTCCAGTACTGATTTTTGCAATAAGTCTTTAACTGATATCAATCCGTGGTCAAACTTAATAGACAGATATTGCCTAGTTGGTATAATGCGTATGAGTCAGTGTCATTCAAAAAAGATAAAAACAAAAATATTTTTTACAAACCTGTATAATAATATTGATCACACGTTCAAGCCATTCAGCATGCCAACTATCATTTACGGCTAATTCTTCTAATAATTTTGAATCATTTAATTGAATTTCATTGAGAGTATATTGTTGAACACCTTGTCTTAAACAAATAATACAAGCAATAGCTATACAACGTCGATCTATATAAGTTGAAAGAGAATCAACTCGTCCTAACCAACGAGTAAGTGGAGCAGTCAGAAGATTACGTAATTCAGGCAGTGAAATTGAACAGTGTTGATTAATTAGTGAATTACACTGTTGTAGAAGTAAAGGAATACTATGAAAACAATTCTCATCAGTATATTTATGAATTAATTGTAATATATTCATGAAGTATAACCTGAAATGAAAATGGGGAAGGAAGAAAAGGGAAAAGGTTTTTTTTAATGCTATCTATAATATGAGAAGCAAACTGATTAGAGGAATATTTTAGCATAAGTAGGAGGTCAGGTGTGCAAAGAGGTGTATTCACAACAGTGTTGTCCATTATACAAGCTGTTTATATACGTTGTTTAACAGTATGATGTAGTAGTTTCTATAATGCTGTTGAAAGATTGTCTATTAAAGAAGACAATGTAGCTTACAGCCTACACTTTTCACCTCAGGCAGTTGCTACTACTGTGGTGAGAGCAGGCTGCTAGCCAATTGGTTGACATTAATCTACGTCAAAGTCTAGGTCACTAATATGGGCCGTGAGAAAATATGAACAAGGCTGTTTCAACAACCAATCACAACAAATTTAAACGTGGGCAAATATGATTCGCAGATAGATGGCTCCACTTTCCGAGGAACTCGAAAACAACCAATCAAAAGGCTGCGTTTGTCTACTTGACTAGGCTATATTAATGTATGTGAAATTTATATAAATACGTGTTGATTTCCGTAATAAAACGATCTGGTGCCAGCTCTTGTCTTCTGTTGTTACACTACTACTGTAACAACAGAATGTAAGACATTGAAGCGAAGGTATATATATATATATATATATATATATGTCAATGAATCAGTGTTATTACCACATTATTGTTGTTTAAATAACATCAAATCAATAATAATATCAATAGATTACAGTTCTATAGTCTCAACATAACAATACACTGAATATCAGAAAAATTAAGGAAAAATAATATTACAAATTCATGAATTTATAGTCTTCGCTGAAGAAGTGTCTGGACTTGCTTCTTCTGCACACAGCACCGATAGACTCTACCTTTTGGAGTATGCGGTATCTGGATGTTTTTGGTGATTTGTTTGGTACCCGATATATGACAGAGAAGGACTATTCAATTTTGGCTTTGTGGGCGGTTTGGACCAGATGGTCTAATATCGAAATGTGGATGGTTTTTACTACACCTTTACTTAGCCATACTGGGAGATGTTCTCTCCAGCAGGAAAAATCAAGTACCTAGAGCAACGGCCAATATAACTCGCACCACAAGCACAATTGAATTGGTAGATACAATTAGAAGTGGCTAATCTAGGCACTTCATCTTTTAATTGTGGAATCACTACCGATCGAGTGGAAAATAAGACTTGTAATTCGCCAGCATTAAAAGTTCTTTGAACTGATTTTCTTAATTTCCTTGTAATGATCTCATTTGGTGTATACGCCTTGAATTGCAGTCGTATATAAAGTGGCTTCTTGCTAACAGATAGTGGGTATTCTTTTTCAGCTTTCTTTGTCATGTGTTTCTTGATCAATTTTTCGGGATAGCTATTCCCAATCAAAGTATCATATACAATGCTTAATTCATCTTCAGTTACTTCTTTTGAGCATATAGGTCTAACTCCGTTGTTGAGGGTCTTCACTAAATCTCTTTTGTACTTGATAGAAACGAAGCTGTGAAAATGTGTACATTGTCCTGTCCAAGTACTTTTTCTATGCAAATTTCTTTTTATACTACCATCTGGTTTTCTTGTAAGTAGGACATCCAGGAAGACAACTCTACTCTTTGCACGTGAATTCGATAGCAGGATATACTTCATTGAATTGAGTTATTTTTGTGTTCCTACCCCAATCATTATCACAAGGAATAAAGGTTTCATTCATATCCTGGCAATAAAATGAGAATTTTCTCACCAGGTTGTTCAAGAGTCCATTTCCTAGTTAACTTGGAAAGAAATCCCAATGGGGAGTCCATCGTCACCCTATCCACACGTCTGTAAAGTGTGCCAGTCATACTTCACCTTAATAACAATTCTTTTAGGATTTCTGTCGGGATACCGGTATTTATCGACGGGTTATACAGTTGTTTACATATGTAGTTCACCGTTTCTACTAGAGGTACATTTGTGAATAACAATGTTATGTCCAAAGATATCATAGTTTTACCCTTGATATCAATACCATTGATTTTGTCTACGAATTCAAGTACATCTTTGACGCTATGTTTCACCATCTGCTTATGCAAAGGTTTGAGAATATTTACTAGCCATTTAGCTAGAGACCATGGTAGGGAGAATTTCGCACATCCGGTATTGACCTTAGTGCCCCCCCCACAGTTTATATACTTTAGGTAGGTCATACAGTCTCGGCGTGTGTGTATCCGTTGACCTGAATTTTTCACATAAACTTTCAGAAAATACCTGCTCCTCCCTATAGTTTTTTTAAAATTTATTATTATTTCCTTTAATTCCTGGAGAAACTAACGACCAACTCGCCACTTCCCTTTCGGGTTCCACTCGAGGGCTAGTCTAGTGATGTCATTTGATGGTTTCCTCAGAGTATGGTCAATCCATCTCCATTTCCTCCTGCCTATTTGTTGCACAATCGGTTCCTACTGTGTTGGTTCGCTCATTGCCAGAGATCCTTGTTGCTGATCTTTTGTGGCCATCTAATCTTCAGTAGTATTGAGCGAAGATAGCTGTTTATGAAGGTCTGTAGTTTGTTTGATGTGCTCTACATGACGCGCCAGATCTCTTATCAATGAAGTAGCACTGGTGTCACACTGGAGTTGAAAATCCGAATCTCATTTTTGATGCTGAATGCTGTTGACTTATCTCCACACAGACTTAAGAGTAATGAAAGCTTGTCGTGCTTTCCAGATCCTCACTGCGATATCCTTGTCAGTTGCGCCTGTGGTTGAAACGATACTTCCCAGGCAGATAAAAGAGGTGGTTTCTTTCACGTTCCTCACATTTATGCTGATTGTTGTCTGTTGTTGTTGGTGGTGGTGTTGCCCAGGAATCTCTTTTTTGTTGTCATCTGGTTAATTCATTCTCTATTTCGTTATTGAAATCTTTCTTTTCCTCACGTTTTTGAAAGTTTTGTGTGTGTTTTCAACATTATCATTCATCTTTTTAATAAAGTCACTTCTATCAAGCAGGACTAGTCCTTCTAATCCTTTATGAGGTTTTTTGACTATCAGTCTTTTGTCAATTATCAATTTGATTGCATGGAGGATTTTATCATGAGCTAACATCAGTTAGAGAACCCAGAATGTTCTGGGTTCTAGCCCCGGTGGGTGCGCACCCCGGGACTGCTGAAAAGTCCCAAACTAGGCTGACGAAACAGTTAGCTGTCCAGTACTCCCTGCAGGTTTTCCAGTGGTTCTCTAAATGATGTCAGCTCATGATGAAATCCTCCATGCAACCAAACAAAATCCCTGCAAAATCAATACTTGAAAATTCATCAATTTCTTTACTTCTTTTCTGTCTCTGTGTTTCTTTTACTGTCGTATTTAATTGTTTTTGTTTTTTTTTAAACTCCAATTCATTTTAGCCGCTGAAATCACCAGAGGATAAGATCTCACAACCGATGTGTTAGTCATATGAAGTATTCTGAATGTAAAACAAAAAACACAAAGCAAAACAATGTGTGTACCTATTTTTTTCTAGTTAAATACAACAACGACAACAACAACATGATGAAGATGAAGAACCAAAAGAACAACTCACCACATATTTGGATATAATACTAATCTAGCAAGCAGTACTAAACGAAGTTCTGTTGCCTTTGGAGTGACATCATCATGAGCATTTTGTGGTGCACGAATTAAACAATATCTAGCCGCTAAAATAAGTAAACCAATTCCACTTGGTGATGATAATAATGCCGCTGTTGCTGTTGCTGCTGTTGTTGACTGTTTAAAACATTCAATATCCAAATAGATTGTAAACCATAGAATGAATAATTTCAGTTGATTTAGGCTGATGGCGGAGGGGGAAATAACGATAGAGAAGAGGAAAAGAAAAGTTGGGAGGTGTTTAACATGATGTAACAGTTTGACTCCAATATTAGTAGTTGTTCCTTCTCCAGTAATAAAGAAAACAGACTAAATACAAACATGCGTGACACATGTGCTAACTATTTCACTCAATAGTTGTAACTTCACAACCTCGTCTATTGATTTCCCCTCCCACCTACGTAGCACTCGACGCCCAAACTCGATATTGCACACCCTATTATACCATTTCATATGGGAGATAGAACGCAGGCAACTATGATGAAAGACCGATAGCCCACCTTTTCATGTCTTCCACTTTCGAGGGCCAGGTCTCACTCACAGCCATGAAGGAGGACGGAGACGATTGCCCCGTTGGTCGACAGCCAGCCGGATATCATGTCTACGCCAGAGACAGCGTAGACTGGCATATGAGAAACTAGCCTTCAGTATCCGTGCTGATCAACCCGTTGGCACTGGCTGACGCAACTTCCTGAATAAATGAAGTGGTCTACACGTTCCACAAACCGCTTCACTCCCTATTTCTAAGCTAAGAGTGGATCAGTGTAGTCCAATCCTGTAGCATCATCTTACATTTGGCGGGAGAGAATCGCTCTCATGCCAAACATTGGTAGATTCCAACTCAAGGTGTTCAGAAGACTCTGAATACCATGTCAGCGTCCTCACCTAGAAGCACTATATCATCTGAATATTCTAAGTCAACGAGATTATCCCCTGGTAACAATTCAATCCCTGAATCTCTGAAGTGAGTTAGGGTTAAGTCCATTAGTACATCTATGATGAAATTAAGTAAAAATGAGGATAGTGGGCATCCCTGTCGACCACCACTAGTTGTCACTACTTCATATGACAACTCGCCGTAAGCTATCACTTGGCTGGCTGCATGTGTTCGAATAGAATGAGTGCGTTGACCACTGCAATGTATTTCCTCGGTATTCCTTTCACAGCCAAACATCTCCATAGTACCTCTTGGTCGACAGAATCGAATGCCACCTTTAGGTGAAGAAACATAACGATTGTTGGACGCCGGTAAGTATGCCTGTGTTCCAGAATCTGCGGGAGGATGAAGATATGATCAACGCATCCTCTTCCTGGTTTAAAGCCTGCCTGATTCTCTCGTGTTTGTGGACTCGCACCGCCACGGTTCAAACGCAGACCTTTTAGGTGGTTACAAGGCAAACTTGTAGACCATTCAGCCACTGGAATCTGACTCAATGGTCAACCCATAAATTCTAACCTCTACAAACAAAAATAAGTGGATAAATAACAGCATGACCTATGACTGTTTACTTTCTTTCAAATATTTTGACACCAGCTGGCTGAAAAGTGAGAATTAAGTAACTAAGTTAGAAAGTCGACACTTATTCTTTTGCAATAAGCTACACAAATGTGAATCTGCACTATTACTCTGGTGACACTTAAACGTAAATAAGTGAAATGAAGTTTGAAACTGTTACTCCTACTAATTCAGAGTTAACTATAAAATTAATAACCATTTAGGTAACACTTTCTTTTCGACAACATTGAAACATTCTATTGGTCCTACCTATATAAATGTGTCACTGCAACTGCAGATGAACTTCTAGATAAAGTGTGAAGTACAGTCAACAGAATTTCATCCTTTAATCGTAAGCACAAGAATTGAAAATGTTCAGGATGTAAGGAAAAGTGATGCGGCGTAAAATGTACACTTGATAGCTGACTGAAGCCTTTGAGTTGTCGATTGCATGATTAAAGATAAAGATAACTTTGGTACCGAAACTATCTTTCCAAGGGACAGTTTGTCTTTACTATGACATTTAATCAAGTTTTCAGAATATTCATTAACCGACAAAACTGAATGCATGCAACGTAGCTCATGCAGTACTGTGTCACTCGTACAAATTTTACAGGCTCACTAGGGGATGTTTTTATATCGGATAGGAACAAAACTCCTAAAATGAAGATATCGTCTACTCTATATCTGTTTGAGAAATACTGACCACTTAATTTTTTCTTCGTCTCATCCTGTCATGCGATTCTAACTCACGCTGTATGCACAAGTTTACCTGCAGTTCCGTTGACACATTGTATATATATATATATATATATATATATATATATATATGCGTCGGTGACAGCGATAGAATGCTCGCCAACCGCGCTTGTGATGTCCGATTCGATCCCCGGCTGACGAACTCCCAAACCTCCTTAAGTCAGTAAGAAGACCGGTGGCTCCTTAAGACAATCACCTACTTCGGTCCGGGCGTTCAGGAAGTGTCCCGGTCCTCGCACAAACTACGAAATTCTGTGTGGTGTATCTCTTGATGCCCATAAAGTACAAATTTATTTACAGAATAGGAAAAGCAATAGAAATGTTACTCAACAAACACTTGAATACACATGCAGTTGGCATTCAGCCACACTTATTGTGTGAAGGCTAATTCTACTACCTGGCTGTGAAAACTTCGATAGACGGGATGAGGTTTCAACCGGCTACCAAGCAGTTGGAAGTCGATTGCCTAGACCAACCACCTACAGCTCCGCTAAATAGCCTACAGATGAACAAACATTATAGACTGGTTATAATCCTGCATTGTTTTAAAGAAATTGCAGAGCTAACGACACTTCATCGAGCACCCTGTCATTTTATATGCTCAGTTGTTCATGAAAGAGCCTAGTTAGTTAAAAACACGTATGTTCGCCTGGTAACAGCTATCTTCAAATATACATCTGATAATAAGCTAAACGAGTAACACTTGATTGATATAATCGTATCAATCTCCACCGAAGTGTCACGAAGACACATCAGTAGAAAAAAGAAGTCGTAACTAGAAGTAGAATGAAAACTAACAGATCACTAGCTAGAGAACCATTAGATTACGAGTTAGTGTTAGCTGTTTTGTTCCAGTTTGAGACTCTGGTGTTACGCATCCACCGGGGTTGCAACCCAGGACCCTCCGGTTACAAGCTGAGCTTGTAAACTATTCAGACACTTGCATCCGATACAATGGCCTCATGGACAGTTACTTGCCGATGATATTGGCTGGCGATTGTACTGTGTATGTCGTCAATTTGCAAAAGTTGAAATTTATGAACCATTAGGTCGGTTCCCAGCGGTTGGATGGTTTACGAGCTCCTCTTGTAACCAGAAGGTTTTGGATTCGACTCCCTGTGGGTGCATACCGTTGAGTAGTCCCAAACTAGATTGATGAAACAGCTGTTCCGTGCCCTCTGGTTTAGAATGGTTCTGTAACTGATGTAAGCGCTTATGATCGAACCTCTATCCAGTCAAACTGTTGTAAACCAACAGCACTTAAAGAAACTATTCGTCATGTGAACAAAAACACGTATGAGAAAAAGTAACTAGTCAAATGTGACAATGCATAAGTGTGAGCATTTTTAATAATAATAATAATAAAAACGGACTTCATACCGATATTTTGATTCTTCATCTGATCTATTGTCATCCCCGACACAAGCAGCTTGTGAGTACAACTCTTCTAAATTCACTTGTTCACATGATCCCCAATTTAAACTGACCATTAAAATAGACATCCAAAATGCTTCAGACCATTGGCTAACAAAATTGTGTAAAATATCACAACCAGCTTTATGAGCTAGTCTCAAAGTCCCAAAAGCAATACGAAAGACTAACTGAAATAAAATGTACACAAACAAACAAACAAAAAAAACACAACTGATTACGCAACATGATGTATGTAAAAAAAGACAGTGAATAGATTCTTAGGAATTGGAATAAAGCAAGAACAACAGGAATGTGTGCTGCCAACATTGCTTGTTTCCTTGGCTTCTCATCATCTGCTCACAGCCTAAATAAATTATAAGGTTTACGTACAGAAAAGTTTTAACATACTTGCAAATTTTTTCATGACCTCAGTTGACAGAAAGTTCCACAATTAGTGAACAGTGCTCAAAAAATTGCGTTTGAAAAGTTTTTACATAGGCAGTTCAAGTTTAAACAAAATAAATGTAAGCATACAATGGTAAAGGAGTTACTCAATAAAGATGAAATATGCGTTAGATGCCGAGGGACTAATAAATTAGGTAACAGTGTACTGAGTTCAAGTCAAATCATAGAAACATGAGACAGACAAAATTAAAGAGTATAAAAGAAGTGAGGTTAAAGACAAAGATTATGTAAACAGATGAGAGAATAAAGACACTCAGTTACCAGGGCAAGGGAAGACTAATAACTGTTTCTTTCTAAACGCATAAATCTGATTTCAAGCGTTTGATAGAAATTGCTTCGGTCAACTTGAGGAGAATGGAGCTCCTTTGTCTACTAGTAATTTTTAAGGATTCCTCGATTTCTACCTCATGACCCGTGTCGAGGAGATGTCTGGTAATAACGCTACTATAAGAGTTTGTTCCCTTGAGACGTAGGCTTTCAGGCACATGTTCAGAAAATCGGAGGTGTTCCCTTCTTTCTGTTCTCCCAATGTAACTGCTCCCGCAGATACACGTAAATTTGTATACACAGTTGGAGTTAACATGTGAAGGGTATCTATCGACTTTTGACTGCACCAAAGAGCATGTTGTTCGATGGTTGGGTTGTAAAGTTACATCAATTGAATGCGATAGTTAGGACATGTGTTACGCATGCATCCCTAGCCATTGCCTTCCTCGACAATAGGCAATGTTAGCTGACATACAGTCAGGTTGGAAAAGAGCCAGTGGTGGTCAATCCGAAACATGGCCTCATCGGTCACTGAAATCCACAACAATTAGTTTAAGCCACCCACGTAGGGAGATGTAGACTTCTTGGTTGGGATCCTTGGGATGATGAAAACTAATGAAGGCTGGAGACAATCGGTGATATAGCTCAAAATCGTTCTCAGTGGCACAGATGCATTTACTCTTTGTGATTTCTCACATCTTATAAAATTCTATTGTTCTTCGATAATACTGTTATTTTCCCTCACACTTCAGTTTATTATCTGTCTTTTGAATCCCTCTCTACCCTCTTATCTTGCTTTGTGTGCTTAATGAAGTGTGGTGACTCAAACTGCTGCATATCGGTGCAGAGTTCTACGTTGAAAGCAGTCAGACAGTTTCCTCAACAATTATTGCTGTATTGAGTAACCTTATGACTAAAAAAAATGGGGAAAACTAAGACTAACTTCAAACAAGTTATGTAACAATTCTAAATCATAATCAAATATGTCATTTAAACTTCTTTCATATAACTGCATCATGTTTTATAGAATTTCATGTAAAGCTGCAGAGGTACGCCTAATTTCAATGCATATGTATATATAAACAATTATTTAACTTACATCGACTTGTTCCCCAGAATCTACACGAGCAAGTAAAGGCTGTCTTAAGGATTTATTCAAAGACATATCTCCACCAGATTGTATTAAACGTATACTATCACCAACTAGTAAAGGCATTAAATTGACCAGATCTGATGACCATATTGAACCGTTGCCCTCAACTAAACTAACCCATAAACGTAGACCTGGTTCAAATAAAGCCTCTGAACCAGATAATCTATTCTCCGTTACATTGTCTAATGACATTTGAATTAAACTGATTACAGGATTACGTAACAAGGTGTTGAATTCAGGTAGCAGTGAAAGATTTTCGTTAGATGCATTAAGTTCAGTAACTAGAAGGCAAACAGTATCCAGAATGTTGCCTCGAAGTGCAGCACTTTGACCACCTATAAAAAATGAAAAAAAAAGCAACACATATTATCAGTCTGAGCAATTTAGTGCCAGACTAGAAAATCAAATGATTTACTATTCATACAACAATGAATATTTCTTGGCATATTTGAATGAGAGAATTATCACAAGAAAGCACCATGAACATGCTTGGAGAGACCGTGTAGATTAAGATGCAAATAATACTATGGAGATTGCATATTGGCAACGACTATCTTCACCAATTTTCCTTGTTTAATTAGAAACAGGTCATGTATTGAGCAGTTAGCTAGATCTTTAACCGGCAGTCAAACATATGCACTACTGGCATAAATGGCGTTACTAAAGTGACTCAAACTTTTATAGACCCCATTCACCAGCTCTATTTGACAGTGCTGTATATATCAGATGATTCATAACAAAACGCTTAAAGAAGCCTCTGAAGTGCAGAAAGGAGTAAAACAAGGCTGTTTACTATCCCTAATGATTCTTTTTGATGATGGTGGAGTGGATCATACAACAAACCGTTGGGCAGCACCAAGAAGACAGGTATATGTTGGAGCTACAAAAAGACTCTAAAATAACGATGTACACTATGAAGATGATTGATGTATAATCTGACACAAACTTGAAGATCTACAGACAAAAATCAACAAGTTGGTAATTCCTTTCTTAACCATCGTTTGTCATTTTTCTTTTTGTGTTCAATCTTATACTACTTATCAGCAATAAGTAGTATGAGTTTGTGTTGTTATTTCACAACCATAGTTGTTTGTTATATATATATATATATATATATATATATATATATATATATCGTATCTCCTTATAGTTAAACAACATCCGCTATATATGGTTTATTTATTTACCCGTGTTTGTTAAACAGTGCTTGTTTGAATTCGTTTATTATTTGTCCGGCATTAGTGCACTACTTAATCTACCCGTGGATCGCCCATGACGCAGCTTTGCTTTTTTCTTATTGACGCGCAGTGGCTGTGCGTCTAGCAGTATTCACTCACAGATACTTCAGTATTCGAGGTTTGTACATAAGACTTCATTATTTTGTTAACAATATAATACCATGCTTTAGAATAATCCGGTGTTTGGGATATTAAGCGTAACTCAAACGTGTGATTTAATTAGTCGATTGGAATTACTGCTCCAGATTTCTTAGAAGAAATCTACAGAAGAGATGAAAATATCTAGTCAATAAGTAACAAGCACCAACTACAACCAGCAAGAGAAATTAGAAAGAAGTCACTGCTTTCTAATAATATCTATGCAGAATTGTTTCAACCGCAGACGACAGGGATGGGGATATCAAAGCCAGTCCAAATCGGAAAAGCGAGACAGACCTTCATTAATAAGACTCAGCTTTTCAATCCACATGTCAAACCAGTTCTTCTTTTAGGTACATAGTCTTGGTGAGTCAAAAAAAAACCTTTCGAACAGACTGTAGTAGTAGTAGACATTTGTCACCAGCTGCTCCTTCGCTGGCTCCGGTACTGAAGATCAGATGACCAGAAGGCGTTAGTAATAAGGAACTCTGGGAACAAGTCAACGGCGAATCTATCACACAATAAATATGCAGGAGAGAATGGAAAGGGATTTGACATATACTAAAGAGACCTTTTATTGGCATCACACAGCGGGGCATCGAATGGAATCTGAATGGAGTGCGACAAGTTGTTTGTGCGAGGGTAACATATTGGAGATAGTGTGAGGAGACGAATACTCGTAGGCAATCATAAAAACAGTCAAAAAGAGACGGCAGAGAACACAGTGAAACAAAGATGTGCTGGTGAAGCCTTATGTTCTACTCGCAACCCCTAAAGAATATGTAACAAACGAGTGTTAAATCCGTATTATCTGTCTGTCTGGCTGTTTTCGACATAGAACTTTGCACTGATGTGCGGCAGCTCAAGTCGCCACACTCCATGTAGCGAAAAAATCAACAGAAGAAAGTAGAAGAAAACAGAGGTGTGAGACAGGGAATAGTAATAATGAAGAGCAAAACAGTTTCACTGGAAATCACAATTCACAAGGAGTGGATGCATCTGAGACAGACATTGAGGACGATTTTGTGTCATATCACCAATTGTCTCCAGCCTTCATTAGTTTCCAACATCCCGATGACCCCGACCAGGAAGTCTACACCTTCCTATGTGAATGGCTTAAACTAGCTGTTGTGGATTTCATTGACTGGTGCCATGTTTTGGTTTCACCACCACTAGCTAGCTCTTTTCCAGTCTAACCCTATATTAGCTAACAGTGGCCGTCGAGGAAGGCGATTTCTAGGCATGCATGCGTAACACATGTCCTAACCATCTCACTCAGTCGATGTAACTTCACAGCCTCATCGATTGATTTCCCCTTCCACCTACCTAGCACTCGACCAAAGACTAACCTCAATATTCCTCACCTTATTATACCACTTCACACGGGAGATAGAACTCAGACACCTATGATCGAAGACAGCTAATCTTTTCATATCTTCCACTCTCAATGGCAACGTCTCACATCCATAGATGAGAAGGGAGCGGAATGATGAGCAGTACACATGCCGTTTGGTCGATAGCCGGATATCACGTCTACGCCAGAGACGGTGTAAATTGAGATTTTAGTCAAAGAATTAAGTGAAGTAGTCAATACATAATAAGCCATTTCACACCTTAAGATTAGATAGCGTATCACTGCAAACTAATTCTTAAGTAGTAATTGAAAAATGTGTCTCAAAATAATCAAATTTTTTCTATCAGGGTAGAAGTTGATGTATCACTTTGCCGTCTATTTTGAAGGATGTAAAACAACATCAAAACTTGGTAAAATCCTTGTCTTTCATTGGATGAACTACTTTTATTTATTTATTCTGTTTCAGGGGGGGGTAACATACGGTCTCAAACTAAAGTTTTGAATTTTCAGTAACCACGGTATTTATTTATACACGCTGGTGTTGCTAGCCTCACGCTCCATCTTTTCTCCTTACTGGGGTTACTGGCGGCCTAAGAGTGCGTCAGCCAAGGGTCGGACCCCCGGTGACATGTGTAACTGACGAGTAAACTACCGTGGGATCACCGATGCACATTCGATAAACAACAAAAAAAACAATCAATATTTAAAGTTAAGAATGATACACAATGGCTTTAGAAGTTTTTCTGACTGGTCTACACCTCACCCATTAAACATAGCAAACAGGTACGTAGAACACTTAATAGTTGCCATGCCAACAATTGACCTGATCGACTCCTCAGTCAATGGAGCATTTGAGTAGTAATACAAAGACCTACAAAATTGTACTAGATATAATTCCAAACGAATTTATATTAACACAAATGATTATGGAATACTTACTAAGACTCCATAGGTGATCTAAAGTGCTTAAGATAGGAGATGTAAGTTGCGGAAAGGAAATCAGATCAATTCTTTGAATTATATTACGTAATACAGTCAGTAAATAAATCCGTGTTTCGCATTCTCTGACATCCTAAACAAATAATTAAAAAAAATTAAACAACAATGATGAAGATAATAACTTGTTTAAGAATTATTGGAGACAAAAAAAAAAATAAACTTCATGAAGCAATCCATGCTAGTCCAGGCTTTGGTGGTTTACGATTCGATCCCCGTCCGACACACTCTTAAAACCTCGTTTAGACGGTAGTAAGCCCAGCCAAGAGGAAAGGTTGAGCGTTAGACCAGCAACAACCTTAACCCGTAAAAAGTAAAAAGGCTACTGCTACTGAAACTTCAAAATTCATTGTTTAAGCCGTATGTCCCACTCGGAAGGTAAAGGAGTAGAGTAATTAGCAAATAACGATATTCTAGTATCGTGAAATGGCTTGAAATGGAAGTCAGTTCTCTATCTCAACTTCATTGACTTTGAAAAGGACTTCGACAGCGTCGATCGAGAGGTGGTTCAAAAACTGCTTCGCTACTAGTGGGGGCCACCAACAATTATGCATCTCATCCAACACTTGTGTGATAATGCTGCATGCCAAGTAATCCACAACTGGAAACTCATGGAATCCTTCGAAGAAGTGAAGATGGGAGTAAGACAAGCTGGCTGCCTACTGTTTCGAATGATTTTAATCACATATTTAAAATGTTTTATATGGTACATCGCATCCAACAGTTGTACGACAATACTGCATGCCAAGTAATCCACAACGGGAAACTTACGGAAGCCTTCGAAGTGAGGACGGGAGTGAGGCAAGGCTGTCTACTATCGCCAATGATCTTCCTGATTTCGGTAGACTGGATAATGCGACAGACAGTGACGGGCAGCGAGGAAACAGGCATAAAATGGACCCACACAAAACTTGGAGTATCTGGACTTTGCCGATGACTTATATATGTCTGATTTTCCACAAACTGGAAGATATGCAAGTGAAAAGCATCAAAGATAGGAAGGACTTCAGGGGAACATAGAGAAAACAGAGGTGATGAAGACTCCTGGCCAACAACAACAGACAACAATCAGCCAGACTAAGTGAGAGGAGTCTGATAGAAGCAATCTCCTTTACCTACCTCTGGAGCATCGTTTCAACTACAGGCGGAAATGACGAGGATATCAAAACAAGAATCGGAAAAGCAAGGCAAACCTTTATTACTCTCAAGTCTGTGTGGAGATCAACAGCATTCAGCATGAAAAATGAGACCTGGATTTTCAACTCTAATGTTAAATCAGTGCTATTATATGGATCAGGGACTTGACGCGTCTAAGAAGGCCACTTCAAACAAACTACAGACCTTCATCAACAGCTGTCTTCACTCAATACCACTCAAGATCAGATGGCCGGCCAGATAAAATCAGCAATAGTGAAGGACCTCTTGGAGCGAACCAACTCAGCAGGAACCAATTGTGCAACAAATATGCAGGAAGAAATAGAGGTGGATTCGCCATACTCTGAGAAAACAAAACACCTAGTGACATCACATGCCAGGCCATCACTCTAGTGGAACGCGAACGGGAAGCGGCGAGTTCGTCATTCAAGGGCGACTCGGAAGAGGTCATGTGAAGAGGAGATGTGGGCAGCTGTGAAGCCAAATGAGAAAATTGGCAGAGAACCGAACGCAGTGGAGACGTGCGGCTGAAGCCATATGTTCCTCTAGGAACTAAAGGAAACAATAATAATAATAGTATCGTAAAATCCACTGTAAATCCAGACACCTAAAATGGGTTTCTTTTACTCAAGGAGAATTTTTCGACGATTCAGTGTGAGAATTTCAAACATACAAAAACTAGAAGGATGGAGTAAAGATGTACAGATGATATTAGAAAAAATAATTGTAATGTATCTTGACTGACAGTTGCCATTTTAATATGGTTATCAGGTTCGCGTATTAGCAATGAACCAATAAATCATACTAACATGCCAAACATGTCGGTTAGCTAACTATAGGACCAAAAAGAGTGTAAACAGTGACAGGAATATTTGAGGTCACAATAAAATGTCTACCTCAAACGACCAGAAAGCGCTTATTATCCCCGAAGTGTAACCAAACAGTTACTTCACGAGTAGTCTCCATCGATATCCTATCCTGCAGTGGCTCATATATATTGACGACTTCAGTTATCTGAAAAGTCACACCAACTCTAGTATACTGCGCTGATGATTGATGAGATTTTAGAAAAAGTACACCAAGCAGTGTCATTTATATGTGTTAAACTTCCCGTTGAAGATTAAATTTACTGCCTAATATTGTCGCGTAGTGTTGCTTCGATATCTGTCTGTCTGTCTGTTTTCGACATAGAACTTTGCACAAATGTGCGGAAGTTCAAGTCGCCACACTCCGTGTAGCACGCGAAGCAAGAGAAGAAAGTACAAGAAAAGCATAATAGAAACAGTGAGCAGAGGTGTGAGACAAAGGAGTAATAAAGAAAAACAAAACAGTTTCATTGGAGATCATAAGTCACAAGGAGTGGGTGCTTCTGCGCCACTGAGAACGATTTTGAGCCATGTCACCAATTGTTTCCAACCATAGATTTTTACCGTCCCGAGGACCCCAGCCTGGAAGTCTACACCTTCCTACGTGGCTGGAAGATAGGTGCATTAATTATTCCTACGTGAGATAACTGTCAATCAGAAATCTACTAAACTTCTAGCTACACATGATGAATAATATAGCTAATGTAGCAGCTTAACTTATCATGATATAAATAAATTTGTCAAATGTACTGATAAGACTGAACTTTTTTATGAGTGTTTTCTCCGAAAACACATGAAACTATAATGATTTCACCTATTTAACGAAATATTTAATACAATTGAAACTTGTAACAGTAAGAATGTACATATACTATGTGGACATCGCCTATGAGATCCGGATTTTCAACTCTAAAATGAAATCAGTGCTACCATACGGATCAGAGACTTGGCGCGTCATAAAGAGCACCTCAAACAAGCTACAGAATTTCATCAACAGCTGTCTTCGCTCAACACCACTCAAGATCAGACGGCCAGAAAAGATCAGCAACAGGGATCTCCAGAAGCGAACCTACTCAGCAGGAACCGATTGTGCAACGAATATGCAGGAAGAAATGGAGATGGACTGACCATACTCAGAGGAAACCATCAAGTGACATCACTAGACAAGCCATTGCTCGAGTGGAACACGAAAGGGAAGTGGCGAGTTGGTCGTGAGTACGAGGGTGACATGGAGGAGGTTATGTGAAAAGGAGATGGAAGCGTGTGGGCAGACTTGGAGTGGGGTGAAAACGTTGACAGAGGACCGAACGCAATGGAGACGTTCGGTTAAAGCCCTTTGTTCCTCTAGGAATTAAAGAAAATAATAATAATACATCGCCTATGACGATAACAAAAAAACAAAAGTTTAAAGAAACAAACTCAAATAAAAGTTGTCATCTGACCTGAATCAATACAAGTGTATCATTGAGTAAGCTTTCTGCATGAATTGCTAAAATATCCTCAGGAAGTACTGGTTCTTGTAAAAGCCATGCAACACCATATACAGCTGCAAGTCGAATACATAATATCATTTGATTTCTAGAAATCTGTTGACCCCAGTTGGTAGGCCGGCGTAGAAATTGATTTAGATGTAAAAGAGCATCATTACACCTTGACTTCAATGATGAACTAGTCATTTGAAAGAAAATAGTTGAAGAAAAAGTGTTTTTAAAAATTGAGTTTAACAGTTTACGGAAAAAGAAACACATATATACACACATAAATATTTGCTTGATATACATTACAGCTTTTACTACGACTGAACACTGCGAAATAATTAATGTTATTGGGTCTAGTCTATGCTACTGGTGTAGACTAGAATTCTATGATTAAAGTTTGCAATGTCAAGGAACTCATGTCCCTTTTGAGATTCAAACCCTGGTCACCCAGTGCAGTTATGTGTGAGCCCAGATAGCTCAGCAGTAGCGTCCCGGACTGAAGAACTGGATGGATCTCAGAGGGGACATGAATATTTTTTTCTTCAAGACTGATGATATTGCCTTTCTGACGAGGCCAATAAGCACGATACCTAGGTCAAGCAAGGATTCCTGACAAGTGCCTCCAACTATCCAACAATAACTGATAGCTTTTCTTTATCACAAACGTAATTTTAAATTGACCAGTTTACTAATATACCGATAAGTATAATTCGTCGATAACACCAGTTTTGAACAAGAAAGTAATTCAACTACTCATTGGACAACTGCAGTATGTTTTAATAATTTTACACCGGAAAAACGAACTACTTATAAGTGACATCACTAGACAAGCCCTCGAGTGGAACCCGAAAGGGAGGCGGCGAGTTGGTCGTCAGTGCAAGGGTGACTTGGAGGGGTTCATGCGAAGAGGAGATGAAAGAATGTGGACAGACCTGGAGCGGGGTGAAAAAGTTGTCAGAAAACAGAAGGCAATGGAGGTGCGCAGCTGAAGCCCTATGTTCCTCTAGGAACTAAAGGATACAATAATAATAATAATAATGATATAAGTAGCTCAAAATTCAGGTAAAAATTTCACAAATATATGCCTTTTAAATACCTTGAAAATACCGGGGTAAATACTCGTTAACATACTTACGACTCCATATCATTTGACGGAATACACATTATACCGTATCGCGACAAGAGGCAGAGAGTTCGAGTCAAAATAACAACAGGAGGTATTTCATCTTCTATTGGATGCGATCCAAGATTATTCTGTATAGAATTCCCTATGGCTAAACCTTCAGTTATAAGGTGTTTAGTTAGATTAATCCAATTTTCTTTGGTGCCAAAATAAGGCAGGCATAATTGTGTCAGTCTCATAACAGCTTCATAAATAAATGGTTTGTCAGTTCCAGCATTTACGCCCTGATGATAGATTGAGGGAAAAAGAAATTAAAATGTAAATTTAATAAAAACAAGTACAATGAGGTAGTGATTAGAACTTTCAAGAACAAATGTAACGTCTATAAAGGACAAATTACAGTGAAGATAGACAAAGATAACAAAATCTTGCATTCATCCTACTATTCGGGAACAATATCAGTGTCCTGCAAATAAGCTTGCTTTGTTGATTACCTATCATTAATATGGAAGTGTAGATATTGGATGTTATGATGAAATGTCATTCCATATAACATAAGTTTATTTGTTACAGGATTTCATCATGAGCTGATATCACTTAGACAACTATTGGAAAACCTGCAGGGAGTGCTGGACAGCTGTTTCGTCAACGCTAGTTTGGGACTCTTCATCAGTACGCACCCACCGCTAAGGTTAAAATCCAAGGCTAGCAAGTTCGTATACCATTCAGCCACTGGGACCCGATTCAATGGCCAGTCCATGAATTCTAACTTCTACCAATTCGTGATTAATCTGATGCTCACTAGTTACTTGCTACAGGATGAAGTTTCCTAGAGTTCTAGTGAGAAGTCGTGACCAGTGAGGTCCAATTAGATGTCATGTGTGTGGATGGATGTCCCACCAACAACAATGGTCGGGGCCACGCTAAATCACGAATTGGTAGAAGTTAGAATTCATGGGTTGGCTGGCCATTGAATTGGTCGGGTCGGGTCCCAGTGGCTGAATGGTATACGAGCTTGCCTAGTAACCGGAAGCTCCTGGATCCGAATCCCAGTGGGTGAGTACTGGCGATGATTCCCAAACTAGGATGAAACAGCAGCTGTCCAGTACTCCCTGGTTTTCAATGGTTCTCTAACTAATATCAATCCGTGATCAACTCGTAAAAATTATATTATTTTCTCCTAATTGGATCTTTCGGGTCCTTAAAGCCAACAAAGTTTGTTGGTTTAAACGTCACCTTAATTCCAGCCTCATTGAGAATCCTAGCTAAGACTTCTGATGTTCCTTCTTCAGTGCGTCAGTGGCACAATGGTTAGGACTCTCGCCGACCATGCACATGGTCCGGGGTTCGAGCCCGCACCGACGCACACCTGATATCTATGGTCGGCCTGCAAAATTTGGGCTACCGATATCCATGCTGAAAATTCCATACTTGTACCGAAAATACAGTGTGGAATCAAGCTGTAAATCCAAAAAAAAAATGGCAGTGCTATAGAGGCTTTAAATTCTATATTATTTATGTTATTTCTACCCCTTTCCTTAGTAATCTAATTTTTGCTACTGGTTTTCATATATTTGTCAATAAATTCTGGTGGTTAGTGTGTTATTCACTAGTAATATTTTCTTTATTTGTTTGATTTCAATATTTGAATCTTCTGGCTTACTAGTTAGTCTCCGAGCTCGATTATATAGACGTCTGACTAAACCAGTCTTTAACGAATTCTGGATGAGATGAACTAAATTCTAAGTATTTATTAGACTGTGCATCGGTTTCCTATAAATGCTAGTTATCTAACCCACCATCTATGGTATCTAGCAGATTACATACTGCGATCTGAAAATTTGGTTTTCAAAGGAAATTGTAGTGAGATTTCTCCTCCTCCTCGAACTGTGTAAATTACAAATTACGAATTTGATTAATGGTGCTACTACTTCGATCAAACATCTAGTCAAAAATCTGGTAGTTTGAACTGACTTGGATCACTCAGCTGGGTCAAATCGCTGATAAGCATGGTCCCAAACGAGCGAACAGTTGCCCAGTATTTAGATCGTCCCGGTATGGCCGGAGTGTCAGCTAAAACTGCCCGTCAGTCGAGGAAGGCGATGACTAGGGATGCATGCGTAACACATGTCCTAACCATCTCACCCGGTCGATGTAGCTTCACAGCTTCGTCGATTGATTTCCCCCCACCCCCACCCCCTTACCTAGCACTCGACCGACGTCTAACCTCGATATTCCTCAGCCTATTAATACCACTTCACACGGGAGATAGAAATGCTTTAGCTCATCAATTACGAGTGAAAGCAGAAATATACCATGTGGGATAGCATTGATTTGTAAATAATATTAACAAGAGGAGTATCAGCAAGCTCTCAAAGAATATAGTATATGTATATAACAGAACCGACTTTGGCAGGAAGTTTGGGCAGTATCGAACAAAGAAGCTAATTATGTAATACCAAACATATTGATAACTTGTTTTTTTCTTAAAAACATACTCTTAAATAACAGATGTTATTATGGTATTATATCTAGTGGCATAACATAAAGGATGATGAGTACAAAATCACGAATGAACTGTATCTGATGAAATTCATTGTTGTTGGCCTTTCACATATATCATAACAATAAATTACATCAAAAGATGTTACCTGCTTAGATGCTACCTATATCGGAATGTCGGAAATAAAACTAAAATAAGTTTTATCTTCAGACCACTTCTCCAAATTGTGTACCATACACTGCTTTTATCCCACACACATATTAAAACAACGAAACATTGGTAACCTTACCCAGAAAAGATGAATACATAACATATATATTTTAGTTGGCTGTTAGACTCTGTGATACTTATGCGCTGGCAGACTACTACTGTTGTGACAGATGATAGCTGGGCGTAAAATGAAAACCTCTATCACAGCATGATTAAAGTCAGATGCTTCTGGAAAACTCGTCCGGGACTCTGTCGAATGAACGAAGACAGAATAGATACTTAATTACTATGACAATGACATTACTCTAACGACTTCGTGGTCTCGTGTCTTGGTTATATCCCACTTATTTTGTTGTTGTATTCATCAAAAGCTTTTGAAATGTTTCTACTTAACGAGTCGGTGCAACTAAATTCACCTACAATCGAATTCTAAGCAATAGACGTTGTTTTATGTGTTGTTATACTTTATGTCGATTATGTTAGGCATAATTGTCTCATCTGAATGATCAGTGTCCATTGAGTGAAACAGCATTACAATCTCAAACGCAGTGGTAAATATCTTCATGGAACTGAAAATGAAATAAGAATAAAACTTGTGTACTGTGGTAGAGTGTAATTCCATTATGGGTAAATTTTGTTTTGATAAAGTCTCACAGTGTTATACAGTAATGTTTACTGATGACGTTTCGAGCACAATTTATTGCTCATAATCATATCACCTTGATATGATTATGAGCAATAAATTGTGCTCGAAACGCGGTCATCAGTAAACATTACTGTATAACACTGTGAGACTTTATCAAAACAAAATTTACCCATAATGGAACTGAAAATGAAGTTGATAAGCATTACTTACGATAAATGGCAAACCTTCTAACTAAGTATGAGGACATAAAAAGGATATACTTATGGGCTTAACCCTAACTCACTTCAGCGACTCAGGGATTGACTTGCTACCAGGGAATAATCTCGTTGACTTAGAATATGCAGACGACATAGTCCTTCTGGGCGAGGACGCTGACAAAATGCAGAATCTTAACACCTTGAACTGCAATCTACGAATGTTTGGCATGCGATTCCCTCCCGTCGAATGCAAGATGATGTTACAGGACTGGACTACACCGACTCCTAGTTTAGAAATAGGAAGTGAAGTGGTAGAGCACGTTGACCGCTTCACTTATTTGGGAAGTACCATCAGCCAACGCCAACGGGTTGATCTCTGATGAAATCTCAGCACGGATACAGAGGGCTTGTTTCGAATATGCCAGTTTACGCGGTCTCTGGCGTAGACGTGATATCCGGCTATCGACCAAAGGGCGGGTGTACTGCTCAGCATTTTGCCCCGTCCTCCTTCATGGCTGTGAGACATGGCCATTGAGAGTGGAAGATATGAAAAGGCTGGCTAGTTGTCTTTCATCATAGGTGCTTGCGCTCTATATCCCGTGTGAAGTGGTATAATGGAGTGAGCAATATTGAGGTCAGGCTTCGGTCGAGTACTAGGCATAGAGGGAGGGGAAATCAATCGACGAGGCTGTAAAGCTACATCGACTGAGATGGTTAGGACAAGTGTTACGCATGCCTACTCATCGCCTTCTTCGACGGGCAATGTTAGCTGATATACAGTCAGGCTGGAAAACAGCTAGAGGCCGTCAAACCAAAACAAAGCTTCGTCGGTCAAAGAAATCCACAAGAATCAGTTTAAGCCACCCCGTAGGAAGGTGTAGACTTCCTGGTTGGGGTTCTCCGGACGGTAAAAACCAATGGTTGGAAACAATCGGTAATATGGCTCAAGATCGTTCTCAATGGCTGTCGCAGATGCATCCACTCCTTGTGACTTATGATTTCCAATGAAACTGTTTTGTTCTTCGTTATTACTATTCCTTTGTCTCACACCTCTGTTTACTGTCTCTAGTGTGCATTTCTTCTACTTTCTTCTCTTGCTTTGTGTGTTACATGGAGTATAGCGACTTGAACTTCCGCACATATGTGCAAAGTTCTATGTAGAAAACAGACAGACATACGCTTAAGATAAACTAACCTGAATTATCTGATAAAGTAAAGGATTCACATCTCATAAAATCGAGAATATACTGTAAATATAAGTTCTGCTAACTGACGACATGGTTCAGCATTAAGCATATGCTGAGAACTGTCAGAGATCCCCATCAATGTTTGAATATTACACCTCCACAACTCATTTGTTTGACAGTCAACATTCCAGAAAGAATTGAGACTAACATACTCTTGAACATCCTCAGCTTCATTGCTTGCACTTGTGTTGGTAATACCACCTGAGGCTAAACAAGCTTCTGGATCACTAGTAAGAAGTTGAAATTCTTTTGGTGTGAGCAGAAACCAATGTTCAAAGAGAGACATAACAAAATATGACAACTTGTTATTTACTTGTCCATTGTTTGATAGACAAGGCTGGGACATCCATAATTCTAGCTGAAATATTAAAGTGTAATAGCATAAACATTAGCACAAAGCTCGAAAATGCTTAAAACATTCTGTGTAGTGTATAGAAAAAGCTTAAAGGACGAAATTTATGCGTGATATTTATATCTATATCTACAATCAACAAGATATGTGAAATACGAATTATAAAAAGAATGAAGATAGTGCCAATTTAAAAATATCACCAACAAGAACTACCCGGACGGCAAATAGCATATAAGGTGAAGGAATGAACATTACAAAGACAAAGATAACCAATCTGGTAATAATAACAACTAAAAGGTATGTATGACGGAGAAGCGAAATTAGAAGTTTTGCGTCAGATGGTTTCATTTAATCCCATATTAGGAAAGTTTACTTGACAGAACACACAGTAATGCTAATAGGGAATTATACTCTACCATAGTGTTCAAATCCCACTGTTACATTAGTGGCTTTATTTACATGTAACCAGTTTTAAAGTGAATATTTGTGGGCAGAATAATTTCAGTAGTGAGTGTATGCTAACCTAAAGGAAGCATAGACGGATGAAGTCTTGCTCGCAAATAAATATAATAACTTGTCACCCGGAATAAAGTATTTGGTAGCACACAGGAAAGGTATATGGATTATAAGTAGTTTCCGTAATGTAAGTCATAAACAATAGCGACAGAATTCCGGAATGAAGTTATGATTAGTGCTAATGCTTTCTTTTTATGGTGATTACTATAGCTAAGTGGAAAATTTTACTGGAATATCAGAAGTCTGAAGGTTTTACAGTACTCAGTACTTTATGAAACCATAATATATATTATAAATTATTTAAATTAATCCCATAAAAATATATTTTGGTAACTAATAAAAATCCGAATAAATCTGCTGAAGAAGCTGTGGCTTACAAAGCCAAACGTTCAGAAAAATCTTGTTTTGATTTTCTTACCACTCTCGGATTAATTTAAATAGTTTATAATGAATCAACCTCACTTGGCGCTTAAATTATTCCAGGAAGTTCGTAACACCTACGGTCTGGAAGCATATAAACCATAATATAACTGGAAGACAGATGAACTACTTTAAATTTTCCGGTACATTATAACTAGTTTTATGTTTAACAATAAAACTGACTGAAATACTATCAAATACCATAAAGTATATCAAAACACGTACTTTGTGTTTCCCCTCTTCAGTAAGTGGAATGTGACCCCTGTGTTCTGAAGATTTGGAGAGCAACACGTTGTATGTAACTGCTAAAAGCCACTTTAGTGCCCTTCTATCCTTGAAGCTTATTTCTGTCCCAGTTGGACATGAAACAAAAAACAAAATATGCTCTAGCACAGACTCGACAAAGCCGTCGCGAACTTCTGGAGATGCAGATAGAAACACAGAAAATAGCAATTTTGATACGCGTCGACGAAAAACAGATATTAGAGGGGAGTCTCCTTTACGTGAGAGATCTTGAAATGCGAGGTCCAGAGACTGGATGGAAACTGTAAGAGCTTCTTTGAACAACTTATCTGTGTTTTCTGAACTCATGCAGCTACTGTAGTCTATTAAAGTGAAGCACGAATAAAGTAATCTCGCCAACTTAATGCCAGGGTCAATATTTATTTCCGGGCTTCCCAAAGCTATTCGGAACGACTCTATAATATTTGGTAACAAATCCTTGACTAGTGAGTTGAAAGCCCGACGTCTCCAAGGTAACCTAAAACTTCCAGCAGCTTTTAGTCCAGATCTTAAGCATGACCACGCATGCCAATCAACAAGCCTGAGCCAAAAGGAATCTGACCAATCATTCTTCATCCACTCATTTCTTACAAAACTTGCAACGAGTTCTGCAATAATCGCACCACTTCGTGGGGAATTTTCTACAGAATTGTTAAGGGTAGTGTGTTCCACTCCACGAGATATATAACCAAACAAAAGCCCTTCTAACTCTTTTTTGACACTGATATCGACATTTGGCCAAACTTTGCAGTCGATAATAATATTTTTGAGGTGAATAAGACCAATAAAACGTCCATCAGCTGACAAATGATTATCACACGAGAAAACGCATGCGGCAATTGCTGAACAAACTTCACTGTAGTTTTCCTTCATTTCAGTTAGCATTGTAAGCTGTTGGCTGGCAGGAAGCATAACTTTTGGATCTCCACAGGCAGCAGAATTAAGCAAATTTACAATATCTACAGTCATTAGTGCAGATGTAATGACAAGACTGTTGACAGTAACGCAAACTTCGGAAATGCGCTGGATTTCGTCCTTCAGGGTTCGTTTCACTAGGCAATAAATAATTATTACCAAGACTTGTTTTAGAAGCAGTAGTAAAAGGAACGGATTAACTACTATGTGAAAGATACTGATTTTTAAGATTATCGTGATACCGTTTTCAAGGAGTAGTTTTTAATGAGGTGCAAAACTATGCAAACTCACATTCAGGTTATGCATACTACACAACTTACTAAGCAGAATGAGATTTATGTTGAAACATGAAATGCTTGAATCCATCAAAGAACCTTAAGATGACCGAAAAATGATGACTAGTTCACGAGCAGCTCTGAATCAGCTTATAGTCTTCAAATATTTGAGGGTTTGTGGTGTAGACGCAGTCCCGCGACAAACAGGTGCAGTTGTCGGGCATGCTAAACTTGCTTTGACAGTGCTCAGGGGAAGCATTATGAGACTGGAAAGGATCACGTGTTTGAAAACTGGGGAGCTGGGAAGACTAGGCCGCTTGACAGTTACTTTAACACCAAGGCTAATTCTTGGAGGCGCCGCTCGAGTAATTCCAGAGGATACAGACTTGTAGCCTTCAACGAAACACGGAATAAAAAATTGTTCGAAATAAACTCAACTGAATCCGAGAAGACGAGTGGTGCATGTGCGTAAGGTTGGGTAGAAATGAAGTGTGAAATAGAAAATTTGAGAAGTGTGAAATTTAAATATAAGGCATCAGACAAAGTAATTCATAACTGGGAAAGACCGTATGGGAGCCCAACGATGTGATCCGATATAAAGCACGACAGAAGAAACGAGGTAAAACTGGCAATTGCCAGTCGGGTACGCGGCGTCAAAAGATGGTAACAGCAAGATGACCACTGAAGTTGTTGAGACGACTCTGCAGTGTAGTGTTTAGCGAGATACCTACTATAATAGATTAAGATGGCAGTCATGTGGAGCTTACCGCAAAAATGGTGTCAAATCACGTACAGCTGGCAATATTTCGTTTTGACAGTAGTGCTGGCAAAAGATAATACTAGAAGGAACAATGTGGTAAAAATAGCAATCAATAAGTTGAAGTGTACTGCCACTGCAGATTCAATTGATTGAATTAATTTTGATAAACTTAATGTGAAAGTAGAATCAAGGAGAAGCTTTCCAGATTATAACTCCATTATGGATAAGATTTTATTTTGATAAATCACACAGTGTTGTACAGTTATATTAACTGATAACGTTATAAATGTACAACACTGTGATTCATTATAATAGAGGTTTTTCATTCATTGGGAAATACAAAAACCTCTATTATAATGAATATCATATACTCAATGCCCAAATTTTTTCAAACCGTTAAAAGTGAACTTGGTTTGGATATATATAACACTGTGATTCATCAAAATAAATTCTTATCCATAATGGAGTTATACTCTACCACAGCGCCCAAGTTTTATACTTTCCAGATTATATCCAGATTTATTGGTTGAGGATAGAAGGCTTGGAACCTATGTTAATCCTTTTCTAGTAAATTTTCGTTGCTGTCCAAACCCTTCTTCAACTAATCGATTGAGGTTGCAGACACCATTTCTTCTGGGAGTCGGTTCCGAGAGTTTATGACTCTGTGTAAGAACCAGAACTCAGCAGCGATATGATTTCTTTTTGACTTTTGAACTCTCCTGCTATGTGCTCTAAGGTGTTCCGACCTGGTGGGTAGGAAAATAGAAAATAGGTCAGGTCTGTAGTCATTATTTAAAATTTTAAACATCGTGATTGAATCTCCTCTCTCCCTACGGTATGACAGGGGAAGAGATTTAAACTGTCTGGTCTTTCCTCGTATGATAAGTTAGTCATGCAGTGAACCGTACGTGTCGCCTTCCTTTGAACCCTTTCTAGAATGTGTGAGTCCCCTTTTAGACAAGGACTGGCGGCCTGGATGCAGTTTTACCGTCTTGACCTCACCAGAGATGTATATAAGGAGGTGAACATATCTCTGGTGATTCTAGTAAAGGCTCTGCGAATTGCTCACAAGGATCTGAGACTACGTGCAGCCACCGCACGACAGTGTGCTGCAGATTTTAAGTCTCGGCCAACTATGACGCCTAAGTCCAAGGGAGTCTGAAATGATGGAAGTGTTATTCCCTCTAGTTCGTAGGAGCCCGTGTTTGCTTGTCCAGTGCTCATGGTTGCACATTTTGCCTCTCTAAATTTTTAAGTCATCTGCGTACAGGACCATAGGGGAGTCTGTGAGCAGAGATAACTCACAGATATACAAAATAAATAGGGGAGGTCCGAGTACCGTGCCCTGTGGCACTCCGCTACGTGCTGCTGTCCAAGAGGAGAGTTTTGAGTCGGTCTTAACCCTCTGCCTCCCATCTATGAGGAACTCCCCGAGCTAGTTTAGTAAACTGCCTTTAATACCAAGACTTTCCAATTTCATGAGTAGTCTTTTGTGAGGTACTTTACCAAAGGCTTTGCCGAAGTCTATGAAGACGACGTCAACGGGTCTTCTGTTGTCCCTTGATCTGACCCAGCTTTCAAATAATAATACTAATATATATTCTCATTTTGCAAATGAGGGACACCAGTTTACAGGCATCATCAATATGATAAATTACATATACGATTAGAAGGCATATTTACTAACAATGATTTAATAAAATACATATTTTTTTCCTACCTACACACCGATTGTAAAGGCATGGATAAGCATTATTTAAATTTCATAAATTTGGTTGATGAATAAATTACATGGTTGCTGACGTTTTTGTCTTTGGTTTGTGGGAACAATATGATAACTAGTCATTCAGTGGAGCACATCAAGAAACATAGAAATATTGTCTTCGCATTAACAAAAAAACCCAAGCATGTTTTGGATGGATTACAAATAATTGAGAAAAAATAAAGCTTGAAGTAATTCCCCCACATAACTTTGGTGTGTACGGCACCGAGTCTTATTCTTGATTTATATCCAAATTTGGTAATAATTTAAAATAAGTGATACACTTGTATGGTTTTGTCAGCATGTTCATTGTAACATCACAAGTGAATTGTACTCAATGTAGACTAATAATAATGATATTATATAATATTTTGAGAAAGCACTTGAAAGCATTAAGTAGCGAAGCGTCAGTAAAAACAATGTCATTTTGTTTTTCACTCATTGGGAAATACAAAAACCTTTATAATATTAATAGTTTATATTTTCATCGCGCGCTGTTTGAAAGGGAGTGCTTTTTTCACGTATTTCACGTTTTTGACAAATCGCTGTTTTGTTGTGTTATTCACTTCAAGAACATTTAAAAAAACTTTAACTTGACTTTTGTCTGTTAAGTTTTGATTTTAACCACTTATATAGTCTATATTGGGTAAATTGTCTTGGCTGTTTCCAGTAGAAGTTCATTATGTCAAAAGTACCACATAAATGTAATAGGGCGGAGTGTTACTTTTTGGTAGATGATGGAATACAGTGTAATAACTGTGAAAAGTGGTATCATAAGATGTGTACTGGATTACGTCCAGCTGCATACAAACGTTGTACTGCTCCAACATCCCACTGGATGTGCAGAATGTGTTGCTCCCCAAAGATGACCTTAATAAGGGAGGCTCACGAACTGCTGTCTAAAGCCATGGAACTTCCTGATGATAGCGTGGCTAGTAAGAGTGACACGGACTGCCCGTCTGAAGATGAAGCAGTAAGTGCCATCATGAATGTTATCACACCGGCGGTTACTATCCCAGTTACCCCGGAAGTAAAACCTACTAGGCGTTCGAAGCGTCTTAGTAAGCGAAAAGGTAACAAAACGGAAGCTGTAAACAGCATCTCAGAACCAGAGAACACCGTAAGCGAAGTTCACCATGAAGGTGGTGCAGACACTGATCTTGATTGTACCATCAAAAACTGCAGCAGCCCTGAGAAGCAACTGCAGGCAGATGATAAATGGGTAACAAAAATAAGCAGTCGGAAGAAATATAGTAATATTGATGGTAGGCAAACGTCTGTCACCTGTAGCCAGGCTGCATCAATAGTGGTGAGAAAGGACGTAGCCACTGCTAAATACGACAAGCTCTCCTTAGACTCTAACATAATTGTTGGAAATTTGGAAGAGTCCAAAGAATCTGATCCCGTGAAAAGGCACGATCACGACCTTAAATTAGTGAGTAGTATTATAAGGAAGATGCTCCCAGCGAATTTCCCTGGAGTATCGATTAAAAAGCTGATTAGAATAGGCAAAAGAGATGATGAATGTTCTAGTCAGCGTAGGTTGCTTAAAGTAGTCTTAGGTTCTCCTGATGAACGGAATCATCTACTGGCTAATGTACACAACCTTGCCGGGTCAGGAATTTCAGCCAGACCTGATTTATCTCTTGAAGACAGACTTAAACGAAAAGAAGTTTTGTCCCAGCTAGAAACAAGACGTAAAAATGGTGAGACTAACCTTAAACTGGTGGGTTTTCAAATAGTCAGGTCTTGGAAACGTATGCTTCCAAGACCTGTGTGGATAAGCCAGACCGCATAGGAAGCCTGAAGGTAGTGTACACTAATATACGTAGTATCGGGAACAAATTTCACGAGCTAGGTGTATTAGTAGAAGACCTTAGCCCAGGTATTGTGGCCATTACTGAAACATGGCTGGTTTCGGGATTAGATGACACACCTGAGCTATGCGGATTTAGTTGCTTGCGCAGCGACAGAGTTAAGGGTCGTAGAGGTGGCGGGGTTGCTCTGTACATCAACAACTCCCTACATGTTCGTTCCGTGAAATCTGAAGCTCATGACAGTGGGACAGGTGAGGTAATTAGCTGTGAAGTAAGCTTTGCAACCGGCACTCTACTCATTGGAGTTCTGTATAGAAGTCCCTATTGTCAGTGTGATGACTTCATTTTAGATCACCTCAAACAATGGAGTAAACACAGTAGCT